CACAGGCAAACACACACACACACAGGCAAACACACACACACACTAACAGGCAAACACACACACTAACAGACATCCACACTAACAGACATCCACACTAACAGACACACACACACTAACACTAACATACATACACTAACATTAACATACACACTAACACTAACAGACACACACTAACACTAACAGACACACACTAACACTAACATACACACTAACAGACACACACTAACACTAACATACACACACTAACACACACACACTAACAGACACACTAACAGACATCCACACACACTAACACACACACACACACACACTAATATACACACACTAACACTAACAGACATCCACACACTAACACACACACTAACATACACACACATACACACTAGCATACACACACTAACACTAACATACATACACACACTAACATACACACTAACAGACATCCACACACACACTAGCAGACATACACACACTCACTAGTGGGTTTTTTTTTTAACCCCCCCCAGCCTCCTTACCTTTGGTAATGCTGGGGGGGGGTTTCTTCCTCTCCCTGGGGTCCAGTGGCTGCAGGGCGGGCGGCCGGCCGGCGAGGGAGCTCTTCCCCTGAGCGCTCTGCTCAGCTCCCTCGCGCGCCGCCAGCAGAGTGAGGCTGGGAGATGGAATATGACGTCATCAACCCGGCTCCCAGCCTCACTCTGCTGGCGGCGCGCAAGGGAGCTGAGCAGAGCGCTCAGGGGAAGAGCTCCCTCGCCGGCCGCCTGCCCAGCGCTGCAGCCACTGCCGCCCAGCGCCCAGAATGTCTGTTAGCCGCGAGGCTAACAAGACATTTGCCTTGGGCATTTGGGGGGCGGCGTTTTTTGCCGCCCCCTGAAAAATGCCGCCCAAGGCAAATGCCTTGTTTGCCTCGCGGCTAATACGCCGCTGCACACAAACATACACTCACTGACAGACATACACTCACTCACTGACAGACTCAATGACAGACACACTCACTGACACACACACACATACACTCATTGACAGACATACATTCACTCACTCACTGACACACACACACATACACTCACTGACAGACCTACTCACTGACAGACACACACAAACACACTGACAGACATACTCACTGACAGACACACACAAACATACTCACACAGACACTCACTGACAGACATACACTCACTCACTAACAGACTCAATGACAGACACACACTCACTGACAGACATATACTTACTCACTGACACACACAGACACTCATTGACAGTCATATATACACACACACAGACACTCACTGACAGACACACACACAGACACTCAGAGGTATAACTAGAAACCACGTCTACCGTCCCCCTCCCAAACATTACCCCCTTCCCGAAACAGATACACATGCAGACACACACAAATACAGTCACACATACACACACACATACATACAAATACACACATACACACACGCATACATATAGACACACATACATACATACATAGACACACAGACATATATCCACACAGATACACACATGCATACAGACACGCAGACAGATATACACACATACATACATACATAGACACACAGACAGAGATTCATACAGACACACATACCTTTCCCTGGGGTCCAGTGGCACACCCTGATGGGAGTCAAAGTTCCCACCCTGACTCCCTCCTCTTCTTCCTCCCGTGCCGCTCCTGGTGGTTGCTGGGAGGAAGTGACTGGGGCAGTCACTTCCTCACAGCATCTGACATCATCAGAGGGGGCCCGGTCGCGCTGTTAAAGTGCTGCCTGGGCCCCCTGGAAATACACTCAAACACTCACCTCCCTGGGATCCAGTGTGAGGCAGCTCCTCACGGCTCCCGGCATCACAGACGGTGCGCAAGGGAGGAGTGAGAGACTGCAAGAATAGCCTCCCTTGCCACCTGCATTCTCTTAGTCACTGGCATTTGATGGCAGAGCAGGCACCTGACATTAAGGTAAGAAGGTGTCTGACTCTGCTATACTGAAGGACAACTTAGGGGGCGCATTCTCCCCTGAGCCGGAGCATGACGTCATTCCGGCTCCGGCATCAGTAAGCGGCACGCGAGGGAGCTGAACAGAAGGATGAGTGCTCCCTCGCCACCTGCAGGACCGGCCGCCCAGCAGCCCCACTGGACCCCAGGGAATCCCCTCAGCACTCCCAAAGGTAGGGAGAAAAATATGAGTGTGTGTATGTGTGTTAAGTTTTGTGCGTGTGTGTGTTAGTTGTGTGTCAGTGTGTGTCTGCTAGTGGGTCAGTGAGTGTGTTAGTTTTTGTGTGTTACTGTGTGTGTTAGTTGTGTGTTAGTTTGTGTGTGTCTGCTAGTGAGGGTCAGTGTGTGTCTGTTACTGAGCGTGTTAGTTTGTGTGTCTATTAGTGAGTCTGTTTGTCTGTTAGTGAGTGTGTGTTTGTCAGTGAGAGTGTATGTTTTGTAAGTGAGTGTGTATGTATGTCTGTCACTGAGTGTGTGTCTGTTAGCTTGTGTGTATGCGTCTGTTCGTGAGAGTGTGTGTGGTTAAAACCCCTTCAGCACTTACCTTTCTCCAGCGCCAGGCTCGCTTGGCGTTGGGGATCTCTCCGCCTCTCAGCTCAGAATGCGCATGCGCGGCAAGAGCCGCGCGCGCATTCAAACGGCCCATATGAAGGCATTACTCAATGCTTTCCTATGGACGTCCAGCGTTTTCTCACTGTGATTTTCACAGTCAATTTTTTGCACTGGGGCCCCATGGATTGTGTGTACGCCACTGCCGGTGCCCTAGGCGAATACCAGTTTCGCCGGCCCTGCTTGTACCCCACTTGTCACCCAAAGTTCGGGCCTGATTTTAATGAAAAGCAAGACCGAGCGAGATAGAAAGACACGGGAACATCGAAATGAAAAGTGCAGCATGATAACCGATCACAAGCTGTGAAGTCCATTTAAAGCAGATTTCAGTATGTGTTTTCAAGAATTAATGATCCCTTAACTACAGACAGAACACATTTGCCTTTTACAGCTATTTTTGGCCACCTTAGAGAGGTTATGGAGCAGCACAAGATGGTATCTGACATGCATTTGTCTTACATTTATGCCCAGAGGAACTTAATGTTTCCATTTGTCTAAGTTAAGTATCTTCTATCATTTTTTAGCAATCCATTTTCCCGGATCTTTTTCTTTTTTCTGTCAAGGTTGGCCTTGTAAAGAAAGCTAAACATCTTCTCTGATCAGATTAGTTTTGATATCTAGAAACCATACTTTATCATAGTTTATAAGCCATTCTATTGTTTTATTTATTTCCGCACTAAATCATATTTACAATCTAATGCTTTCATTTTTTAAGGTTATTGCTGATGTCTCAACTGTTGTAATAGGTTTATATTCCCAAAATGGCTTTAATGGAGAATTTTGTTCTATGGTTCATAGTTTATAAACCGGAAGGATAAACACTGTATGCCATTCATAAGGTTCAAACAGCTGACACATTTTTTAAATCATTTTTTATTTTTTACATTTAAAAAAAAAAAAAGTCTTTGCTTAAAGAACAATCAATTACTTTTTATACTATTGTGAAGTGTCCGCTGGAAGAAAATACAAATTGATAGCATTTGAATTTCCGCAAGAATACTTAAATCACCTATTTTGTGACTAAAGAACAATGTTTATTTAAAGGTAAAATTAAAGGCGTATTTTATATTTAACACACATTGTATTCGCAGAAATGCTAGTGATCGTATAGATTCTAATTTAGAACTCTCTTAAAATATGCCCTCTTCCCCACCTGCTAATCAATTCTCTGCATTAACCTGTCCATGCTAATAGTACAGAGCACATACATGGAAAATGAGTGACAGGGAGCGCAGGAGAACCCTTCTATAGATGGTTCTCCTGCTCTCTGTCACACTATTTCTCCAGCATTAATTTCTCATGCGTGCAATGGGAGCATAGGTTGCTCTGATGCTGATGTGAAGGCAGTAAAGCCAGCATGTCACAATCATTAGGGAGTATTGCCTTGCTAGAGAAAGTCTCCTCAAGCAGGCAGTATTGCAGCGTGGAGGACCAGAGAGTTTGTATTACAATAGTATTATAGCTATGGTACCTCCTTAAATGGCTGTGTTAGAGAGAGGGGCAGCAGTGGAAACCAACTAGAACAGCTCTCTATGCCAATAAAAATAAACTTGACCACTATGATAAATTCTGTTTACTGTCTTAGTGGTGGCTTTATGTTATGATGAACCTGTCCATTCACTTTAAAGAGGAAAAAAAAAAAAAAGAATTACTAATTTACACTTAATCATTTGCTAGTATGCAATGTAGTGTTAGAAGTGCTCTGATATGTTATAAGAAAATTAATCATTCAGGCCTTCAAAGGCACACTGAATTCTTAAAGGAACACTATAAGGGGTCAGGAACACAAACATGTATTCCTGACCCTATAGTGTTAAAACCACCATTTAGCCCTTGCCTCCAAAAATATAGTAAAATCGTACTTGTGTTCAAGTCGGTAGCTGCTGCCTCTTCCCCTGATCTGCCTGCTTGGCTAACATCGTGATTCTGTGAGGCAATCACAATGCGTTCACATAGGATTGGCTGAGACTGTCAAGGAGGAAGATCTGGAGCAGAGCCAGCACAAGTCAAACACAGCCCTGGCCAATCAGCATGTCCCCATAGAGATGCATTGAATCAATGCCTCTTTGATGAAAGTTCAGTGTCTCCATGCAGAGAGTGGAGACACTGAATGTCAGTCACACTGTGCAGCACTGCCCCAGGAAGCACCTCCAGCATTCATCTGAGGAGTGGCCAGTGCAGTTATCATGAGGCTGTAATGTAAACACTGTCTTTTCTCTGAAAACATGGTGTTTACTACAAAAAGCCGGCAGGGAATGATTATACTCACCATAACAAATACAATAAGCTGTAGTTGTTCTGGTGACTATAGTGTCCCTTTAATTTGGAGCATAATTTATTTTTAATAATTATTTATTTTTAGCATAATAGTCCATAACATTGCAAATGTTCAGGCAAGGCTGCAACAGACAACTTGGTGGGAACTCTCCCCTTCCCTCCCCCCAAAAGACGTACTATTTTTCTCAGGGTGCGTCCATTGATAGCGGAGAGCGAGAGCTGACACTCCCGTCCTGCATTGGCTGCCCAGCTAACCCTTTCTCACGCACTGCAGACAGAAATGGATGCTGGCAGACAGATGTGCAAGGTGCCGGAGACGCAACTTCAGGGTTAAACTGTTAACAAATGGTTTAACCCCTGATAGTAAGATGCTGCCCAGACATGCCTGCACCATAACAACTTAAACAAGCTGAATATGTTATGTGGTGGGATTGCTCCTTTAAAATTAACCTGTGTAAAATTGCCTTCATAGTGTCATTAAAAAGACAGACTCGGAGATTGGACCATGACTGCAAGGCTTATTGAAAATATAGTTACTACATTCTGAACAGTCATGTGAGTTGGCTTAACAAGATGCAGAATATGCAATGACATGTAATTAACAGAACAAATGGACTGAGTAACTAGGTGTAGATGCAGTGCTACAATAGACCTAAGGACGTATATATAAAAACCCAAAGGTGATATATACAAATAGAGGGTGGTTGAGAACAATACAACCTGAATATGGCTGAAAATGAACGTGGAATCTATAAAATAGCAAAATACAAAATATAGTGAAGTAAGTTAGGCAAAATTGGATTTGCACGTGGTAGAAAACTTACAAGAAGGGAGTAGTAATCACGCCTGTCATCCTGTCATCCTGTCATCCTGTCAGGGGTACTTTCCACATTGGAGACCGAATATATATGGCGAGGACTGACAATATCACTTTTTCTTCAGCTCAGGAATAAAATATCCCTTTTTCCTTCAGCTCAGGAACAAAAGAAAAAATATATATATAGTGCAGATTGTATAAAAATAACAAAATTTATTCCAAATATTGCACTTACAAGAAATCAGAAGTAAGACAGCATATCTCCATAATGAAGTAATGACCGGGTCTCCAGGTGAAAGTAGAGAGAGATCCCAAAATGGAGGTACACAAAATTAAAAAAATATAAAATAAAATAAATAAAAATAACAAATGGACTATAATAACAGCTGTATATTAGCATAAAAAGTCAAAAAGTAGTATCCAACGCGTTTCGTCACTATGGTGACTTCCTCAGGGATATAGATGTGTTGTAATCTTCATGGTTTATATATCATGCCAATTTTCAAATTTGCGGGGAAATTCACATGTTACTTCCGGTTTTCGGCCCTTAGACTTCCTGCGTTCCACCTTGGAACGCATAGCGTCACTTCCGGTTTCCGGTCTCATCCAATCAAGTGGGCTTCTTGCGTTCCACCTTGGAACGCATGACATCACTTCCGGTTTCAGATCTAATCCGATCGAGGGGAGCCCTCTTCTGCTAGCACTAATAGAAGTGCAGCAGAAAAGGCTTCCCCTCTGGGGCAACAATCAGTTCCCATTATACAAATATGGGACAGAAAAAGAAGTCTGTATGCCATGAAAATAATAAAGCATTAAAAATCTGCATAAAATAAAAAAGAATAACTATAAAGGACTAAATGGATGTTGTATAATATGGACCAGATTGAAACATGTCATATTTAAAACATGACATGTAAGACATTATAAAAAAGGAGTAATAGTACAATGTATATTCTGTAATATCAGAATGCATGATTGTTATATACATGAAACCCCAAAAGGGTACAAATTTGAAAAAACAAATGTATAATATCATTGTAGCCCAATCCAATGTACAATGGGAACAGATGTACAAATATTAATAATAACTGAACATATATCAAAGATAGTATATATATATATATAGTCTACAAAATATATATAATTTTTTTTTTTTTTTTTTCGCATAATATAGCACTCTCAAATACAATAATTAAATAAATACAATTAGATAATATGCAAATATAAAGTGTAATGAGTTCAACATCCATCTATAAGATAGAGATAAGCATTAATATCCATATAGTACATATAATACAGTATATCCAGATGTGGAACTTATATAGGTAAATATAGACAAATTTCAAACTACTATCAATAAGACCAGGATATAGAAAAGAGAAAAAGAAATTTTGGAAGAAGGATAATTATTGGATTAATTTGTATATCATTAAATTAGACCAGTTAAATCAATATCTTGGTTTAAACCGGTTTTAAGTGTTCTTAAATTGTATATCCATTCTGCTTCTTTTTTAATTAGCTCTTGCATTCTGTTACCTCCCCTCCAGTGTACATCTATCCTATCGATTCCAAAGGCACGAAAGGTGGACCATTCAAAAGAACTACATGTGTTACAGTGTCTAGGTACACTGTGATCCATTTTTTTTGTTTCTTATATTAAGGAAATGTTCTCTGAACCTAATATGTAGTTGACGGGTAGTCCTACCTACATATTGTGCCCCACATCCACATTGGAGCAGATATATGGCATATGTAGTGGTACAATGTAAAAAATTTTTAATTTGATATGTTTTTTGGGTGTATGTGCCTTTGAAATCGACAATCTTTTTGTCTAAGTTTATACATGTGGAACACTTTCCACATTTATGGAAACCTGGAGTTTTTGATGATTCCAAAAAATGTTTCTTTGGTTTATTAGTATATAAAAGGCTGGGGGCCAGTTGAGATTTTAAATTATCGGCTTTCTTATATATGACCAGGGGTTTGTTTGGTAAAACCTGGCCTAGCACTTCGTCCTGTTTAAGGATTGCCCAATGTTTTTTTAAAATATTTTCAATCTTTTTTGCATGTGTGTTGTATTTTGTTGTGAATGCAAATTCGAACTTTCCTTTATTGTGATTCCCTTTTTGTCTATCTATTAGAAATTCAGATCGATTCTTTGTTTTGATATTCTGTATCTCCAGATCAATTCGTTTCTTATTATATCCCTTCTCCACATATCTATTTTGTATGATTCGAGATTGCTCTTCAAAAGAATGTGTAGTAGAGCAATTTCTTCTCATACGGATTATTTGTCCCTTGGGGATATTGTCCAGCCATAGTGGATGGTGTAAACTATTGTTTTTAATTGCAGTATTGCAGTCGGTTTTTTTAAAAAATGTCTTAGTTCTTAATGTGTTTTCCTCGACATATATAGTCAAGTCTAGAAAATCTATTGATTCGTGATGTATTGAAGAAGTAAATTTTAGATTATAATCATTTTGATTGATGTCCTCAATAAAATCCGTAAGGCTGGTATGATTGCCTTCCCAAATAATAAGCACATCATCTATGTAGCGTCGCCATAGGACAAGGTTCCCCCCAAGGTGGGATCCCAAGGTGACATGTTGCGACTCCCAATGGGCCACATAAAGGTTGGCAAAACTTGGGGCGAACCTCGTCCCCATGGCGACACCACATAGCTGTAAAAAGAAGACTGAATCAAACCAAAAAAAAAATTTTTTGTCAATACAAACTGAATACACAAAACCAAAAAATCTATTTGTTGTATGCATAGACCATTCTGTTGGGTCAAAGTATCTTTAATAACTTCCAATCCCTTAGAGTGAGGTATGTTTGAATATAGGGAGGTAACATCAATTGTAGCCAGTAAATAGGAGGACTTCCATTCGAAGGTCTGTAGATCTTGTAAGAGATGCTTAGTATCTCTTATATAAGAGGGACAGAAAGGTACAAATGGTTTTAAGAAGGCGTCTACATATTCCGAAAGATTGCAAGTGAGGGAGTTAATCCCACTGATGATAGGTCGACCTGGGGGGGAGGTAAGGCACTTGTGGATTTTGGGTAAAAAATAAAAAATGGCTGTTTTACAGAAAGGGTTAAACATAAACTTAAATTCGTCTATTGAAATTATATTGTTGTCTAGACCTTGTTGTAATAATGTTCTAAGTTCTTGTAGAAAGATCTTACTAGGATCTTGTTCTAATATTTTATAAGTGACTTTATCTCCTAGAATATGATACGCCTCCTGCATATAGTATTCTCTACTCATAATTACAGTGCCACCTCCTTTATCTGCCTCCTTGATCACTAAATTGTGGTTTTTCTTAAGATTTTTTAAAGCTTCTCTTTCTTTGATAGTGAGATTGTGTTTATAATTTGTGTTTTTAATCTTATCCAGATCAGTTTGTACGAGGTCATTGAAAACCTCTAGAAACTTCCCTCTTGCAAAGGAAGGGTAAAAATTTGATTTATTTTTTAATTTGGAATGTATAATGCCTTCAAAGTCATTATTTTCATTTTCGTTTTCATTTATTATGTCTAAATTATTTGTTAAATTGGGGTCTTGGATCACATTTGAGCTATCTTGAGTTCGTTTTTCAAAGAAATGTTTAACTGTAAGTTTCTTTAAAAATTTCTGATTATCAAGAAATAGGTCAAATGGTTTTATTCCCATAGTTGGGGCAAATTTTAAACCTTTATGGAGCAAAGATAGTTCTTGTTTTGAAAGAGTTACTCCTGAAATATTGAAAATACCCTCAGAATGTGGGTCTAGTGGGATTTGTATGTCGCCTTTTGGGGTGGTGTATTGTCTTCTTCTTCTAATTCTGTGTATAATCTCTTTTTTCTGGGAGATTCCAAAACTTGGAACCTGTTGCGGGTGTTGGGATATTGGTTTGGATGTCTTTTCCTTTGGTCTAGCCCCTTGTCTAAAAAAGCCGAGGAAGAGGAAAAAGGTTCCCTGAGGAAGTCACCATAGTGACGAAACGCGTTGGATACTACTTTTGGACTTTTTATGCTAATATACAGCTGTTATTATAGTCCATTTGTTATTTTTATTTATTTTATTTTATATTTTTTTAATTTTGTGTACCTCCATTTTGGGATCTCTCCATCCACTATGGCTGGACAATATCCCCAAGGGACAAATAATCCGTATGAGAAGAAATTGCTCTACTACACATTCTTTTGAAGAGCAATCTCGAATCATACAAAATAGATATGTGGAGAAGGGATATAATAAGAAACGAATTGATCTGGAGATACAGAATATCAAAACAAAGAATCGATCTGAATTTCTAATAGATAGACAAAAAGGGAATCACAATAAAGGAAAGTTCGAATTTGCATTCACAACAAAATACAACACACATGCAAAAAAGATCGAAAATATTTAAAAAAAACATTGGGCAATCCTTAAACAGGACGAAGTGCTAGGCCAGGTTTTACCAAACAAACCCCTGGTCATATATAAGAAAGCCGATAATTTAAAATCTCAACTGGCCCCCAGCC